CCCCCCGCCTGGGGACCCCCCCGCCCCCCCCAGCTGTGGAACCCCCCCCCCCCCCCCCGAGCTGTGCAAACCTCCGACCCCCCCAGCTGTGGTGGAACTACAAATCCCATGGAGGCATTGCCAGATTCTCCCAGCCACAGACATGACTCCCGGAGAGAGATGCATCATGGGATTTGTAGTTCCACCCACAGCTGGAGGGCCGGGAGGTTTGAGAACATACAGTCCTTCTTTCAGGCACCTTCCGTACACAGAAGACCAGCAAGCCTAGAACTCACCACTCAGAACGATGATGCTGAAGTGTCCATTGCTGACGGGGTGGCCCTGGTAGCGCAGGGTGGCCTGGAAACATCCGGTCTGGAGCAGAGTCAGGTGAAGCAGGACCCGCTTTTGCTTCCCACTACACACAGTGGTCTGGCAGCAGCCGTCGGCCATGCCCAGCACCCCAAGCTGCGAGAGCAGAGAGAGAGAGTCACCCGAGGTGCGCCACAAGAATGGCTCGGAATAATCAGCAAGCGATGGCAGAGACTCACCTCACTGAGGGACAGCGCGTAGCTCTCCAACTCTCTCACACTGTCATTGGTGGGGTTCCCATACTGGTCACATGGAGCAACATGGAGTGTGTGCTGCTCTCCACAGGTCAGTACCAGAGTGGAAAAGTGGCCCATGATCTGCGTCTTGGCCGGATCCACAACACCTGCGAGAAAACAGCAGGTGAGAAGACCGCCATGGCATAGCCAACCGCAACGCACAACTACTGCGCTCTGCCCTACGGCCTCTTGCCTGGGTGGAAGGCCTTGTAGTAAGGACTATGTCCAACATTCAGGCCACCAACGCTGACGGTGATCTGGTATCTCCCGGACTTCCTCACAGTAAAAGCGGCTTTCACCACATTTCTCAGGGGATCCTGGAGAACCTCCAAAGTGACCGGGACTTCCAGAGACAGCTCGGTGTGCGAGATGTGGACCCGCAGGGACATGGTACCGCCGATGGGGAAAGGATGACCGTTCCTGTAGAAGAGCTGAGGAGCAGAGGAGGTCAGAGGTGAGAGGAGCGGAGGTGAGAGCAGAGGAGCGGAGGTGAGAGCAGAGGAGGTGAGAGCAGAGGAGCAGAGGAGAGGAGGTGAGAGCAGAGCAGAGGAGGTGAGAGCAGAGCAGAGGAGGTGAGAGCAGAGGAGAGGAGGTGAGAGCAGAGGAGAGGAGGTGAGAGCAGAGGAGAGGAGGTCAGAGCAGAGGAGAGGAGGTCAGAGCAGAGCAGAGGAGGTCAGAGCAGAGCAGAGGAGGTCAGAGCAGAGCAGAGGAGGTCAGAGCAGAGGAGGTCAGAGCAGAGGAGGTCAGAGCAGAGGAGGTCAGAGCAGAGGAGGTCAGAGCAGAGGAGGTCAGAGCAGAGGAGGGCAGAGCAGAGGAGGTCAGAGCAGAGGAGGTCAGAGCAGAGGAGGTCAGAGCAGAGGAGGTCAGAGCAGAGGAGGTCAGAGCAGAGGAGAGACACGGGCAGGACCTGAGGAATGCGGTCTGACAACTCTTACATGGACTCGGAATCCCAAGGGCTGTCCAACCTCACATGGCTCATTCCAGTCCCAAGAGACCTGACAGGAGCGGGGCTCCAGGTACTTCCCCCGTACATAGTTGTAGATGGTACGCTCCGTCCCACGCTCACGTCCCTCATGGTGCCAGAAAGTGAGGACTCGGGAACTGAGCTCAAACAGGAACTTAATGGTGATGAGAAGGACGCACATCAAGCCCGTCACGCTGCCTGTCCAGAGACAAATCAACAAGTCAATATGAAGGAGGGCACACAACACACGTGTAGGGGAAGGAAGTTGGGGGGACGGGGGGAGGGGTCCCCAAAACATCCACACAAGGACAGAAGGGGGAAATAGATGGAAATATGGACGTAGAGTGGAACTACGAAACCAAAGATCATCTCTATGGGAGGACTGGAGCACCTGGGGAATGTA